GAAATAGAACAGAGCATCCAAAAATAGATACACACTTACATGGTTTTAAATTGATCAAACAAAATATCAAAACAATCAAATGAGAGGAAAAAAACCTTTTTTTTTTACAGTAAAATCGTGCTAAAATAACTGGATATCCATAAAAAGCAAAATAAGTATCAACCCCCATTTTAAAAAATATTTTATTTACTTCTTTTTAGAGAGAGGGGATAGGAAAGAGAAAGAGTGAAAGAGAAACATCAATGTGTGGTTGCCTCTCATGTGTCCCCTACTAGGGGACTGGCCTGCAACCCAGGCATGTGCCCTGATTGGGAATCGAACCAGCGACCCTTTGTTTCACAGGCCTATGCTCAATCCACTGAGTTACACCAGCCACGGCTCAACCCCCATTTTATATCACACACTTATTAATTCAAGAGGGGTTGTAGTACTATATGTAAAAATTAAATTGATAAAACCTCCAGGAGAAAATATGGAAGAAGATCCTTATGACTTGGGATAAGCAAAGGTTCCTTAAAGGTCACAGAATGCAAAAACTGTAAAAGAAGAAAAAAAGAAGCCTGAGTTGAAAACCTCTGCTCATCTAACATTGTTAGGAAAATGAACAGAAATGCAACAGACTGGGAGAAACTATGTATGACGAAGGGCCGGTATCTAGGACATATAAAGAATTCCTATGACTCTATGGTAAAAAAATTTGAATAAATTTCACAAGAAAAATACATAAATGGCCAAAAGCACATAAAAACAGTTCAACGTCAGGACTTCTGGCCAAGATGGAGGCGTGGGTAAACACACTATGCCTCCTCGCACAACCAAAAGAAGGACAACAACAAATTTAAAAACAAAAACAACCAGAACTGACAGAAAATCTAACTGTATGGAGGTCTGACAACCAAGGAGTTAAAGAAGAGACATTCATCCAGACCAAATTAGAGGGGTGGAGTCGGGCAGCCAGGCAGAGAGGACTCACGGAAGGAGGCAGCTAGCCACCGGCTGGTGGACTGGGAGACACAGTACCCTGGAGTGGGTGGTCCCACACTCACATGCAGATAAACCTGGAGGGACAACTGGGGAGCGAGACAACACAACCCAGGGTCCCAGCATGGGGAAATAAAGCCTCAAAACACTGACTGGAAACGCCTGTGGGGGTTGAGGCGACAGTGGGAGAAACTCCCAGCCTCATAGGCAAGTTTGTTAGAGAGACCCACAGGGTCCTAGAACATACACAAACCCACCCACACAGGAATCAGCACCAGAAGGGCCCAATTTGCTTGTGGGAAACAGAGTAAGTGACTAAAAACCGGCAGAGAGTGGAGCAAGCGCCATCGGTCCCTCTCAGACTCCTCCCCAACATACAGTGTAGCAATTCAGCAACCTGGGTTGCCCCACCCTGGTGAACACCTAAGGTCCCACCCCTTACTATGTAACAGGCAGGTGGAAACGGGAAAAAAAAAAAAAAAAGGCCCAAGTAAAAGAATGAATCAAAGCTCCAGAAAAAATACAACTAAGCTACCTAAGCTAGACAAGGTAGCCAACCTATCAGATGCACAGTTCAAAACACTGGTAATCAGGATGCTCACAGAATTAGTTGAATGTGGTCACAAATTAGATTAAAAAAATTAAGGCTATGCTAAGTGAAATAAAGGAAAATGTACAGGGAACCAACAGTGATGGGAAGGAAACTGGGACTCAAAACAACGGTTTGGACCAGAAGGAAGAAAGAAACAAACAAACAGAAAAGAAAAAAGAAACAAGAATTTTTAAAGATGAGGAGAGGCTTAGAAACCTCTTGGACATCTTTAAACATTCCAACATCCAAATCATAGGGGTTCCAGAAGAAGAAGAGGAAGAGCAACAAGTGGAAAAGTTATATGAACAAATAATAAAAGAGAACTTCCCCAATCTGGCAAAGGAAATAGACTTTTAGGAAGTCCAGAAAGCTCAGAGAGTCCCAAAGAAGTTGGACCCAAGGAGGAGCACACCAAAGCACATCATAATTACACTGCCCAAGATTAAAATGAAGGAGAAAATCCTAGAAGCAGCAAGAGAAAAGGAGACAGTTTCCTACAAAGGAGTTCCCATCAGACTGTCAGCTGATTTCTCAAAAGAGATTTTGCAGGCAAGAAAAAAGTATTCCAAATCATGAAAGGCAAGGTCCTACACCTAAGATTTCTCTATCCAGCAAAGCTATCATTTAGAATGGAAGGGCAGATAAAGTGCGTCTCAGATAAGGTCAAGTTAAAGGAGTTCACCATCACCAACCCCTTATCGTATGGGACTTATCTAAGAAAAAGATTAAAACTGTGTACGGTAAAATGACAGCAAACTCTCAATTATTAACAACCACACCTAAAACAAAAACAAACTAAGCAAACAACTAAAACAGGAACAGAATCACAGAAATGGAGATCACAATGGAGGGTTATCAGCAGGGGAGTGAGAGGGAAAGAAGGGGGAAAAGGTACAGAGAATAAGTAACATAAATGGTAGGTAGAAAACAGACAAAGGAAGGGTAAGAATAGTATGGGAAAAGTAGAGGCCAAAGAATTTACATGTATGGTACATGGACATGAACTAAAGGGGGGGAATGTGGGTGGGAGGGGGTGTACAGGGCAGAGGGGAATAAAGGGAGGAATATGAGACAACTGTAATATCAATAAAATATGTTAAAAAATAGCTCAACATTATTAATAATCAGAGAAATGCAAATTTAAACAATCGTGAAATACCACTAAACATAAAGTTAAAAGATTGACAACACAAATGTTAGCAAAAATGTAAAACGACTAGAACTCTCATCTATTGTTGGTAATATTTTGGGAAAAGGTCTAACAATTTCTTTTTTTTTTTAAGATTTTATTTATTTATTTTTACTCAGAGAGGAAAGGAGGGAGAAAAACATCAATGTGTGGTTGCCTCTCATGCACCCGCCACCGGGGACTTGGCCCACAACCCAGGCATGTGCCCTGACTGGGAATCGAACCAGCAACCCTTCAGTTTATAGGCTAGCACTCAATCCACTGAACCATACCAGTTAGGGCAGGTCTAGCAATTTCTTATAAAACTAAACATATGCATATATATGTTTATGAACCAGCAGTTCCACTCCTAAATTTACCTAAGAACGGAAAACAAATATTCACAAAAAGATCTATAACAAATGTTATTGATAATAGAAACTTATTCAAAGTAGTAAGAAACTGAAAAAGCCCAGATGTTTATCAACAGAAGACTGTATAAACAAACTGAGTTATAGTCAAAAAAACAGAACAGGCTTTCTGGTGGTGAAAACCTCTCCATGACAACATGCCTCTCCATAAGGATCTCCTTCATCCCTCTCCAGAAGAGGAGAAAAGACGCGAAGCACCTGGTGCAGAGCCCCAATTCCCACCTCATGGATGTGAGATGCCCAGGGTGCTATAAAATCACCACCGTCTTTAGCCAGCACAAAGGGTAGTTTTGTGTGTTGGCCGATCCAGTGTCCTCTGCCAGCCTACAGGAGGAAAAGCAAGGCTTACAGAGGGTGCTGCTTCAGAAGAAGGCAGCACTAAAGGCACCCCAAATCAAGATGAGTGGAGAACTATCCCAATAAACACACTGTGGATGCATTCACAAAAAAAAAACCTAGAATGGTTTATATCAGCAATATAAACAAATAAGCTCTTGATACAATAGCAACATGAATGTATCTTGAAAACATTATGCTGAGTGAAAGATGCCTTTCTCAAATGAGTAGTTACCATATGAATCGGTTTAGGCATTCCACTTGAATGGAATAGGCAAGACCAATCAATGGTAAAAACGAAATCATGACAGTGGTTCCCTGGGATTGAAGGAGCATTTCCAGGAATGAAAGAACTTCCTGGGATAATGGCAATGTTTTATATTTGACAAGGGTTTAAGATATACAGGTTCATGCATTTGCCAAAGGGGTAATGGTAACCCCTAAGACAGGGGTGTCAAACTCATTTTCACTGGGGGCCACATCAGCCTCACAGTTACCTTCAAAGGGCCAAATATAATTTTCAGACTGTATAAATATAACTGCTCCTTCACAGTTAAGCGAGAGCTCGGTGCTGCCACTGGGTAGAAACAAGGTGCCAGACCAGATAAAACAAGGTGGAGGGCTGGATTCAGCTACCAAAATTTGCATTTCATTGCATGCAAATTTTCTCCCTTAAAATATTGAACTCTAATGTGTTACACAAGCAGAAATATTCAGAAGTAAAATATGCTGACATTTGAAACATACCTTAAAGTACAGCAAAAATTAAGATAGATTAATGAACAAATAGATGGATGGATACAGGGATACAGAGCTATGTGATAAAACCACAAATGATAATTGTAGAATCTACATGATATATTTATGGGTATATACTGTACAATTCTTACAACTTATCTGCACTTTGAATATTTTCATAATAAAACGCTAGAAATAAATTTTAATTATGAGTTACTACATGAGCAGTATACACCAGATCAATAGCAACAGCTGCTGCCACCACCACTAACTACACAATTATGTCATGTGAAGCACCACGACAGATATTCACAGGCGTCACACAGAACCCCCACGACAATCCCCTCATTTTCCAGATGTGGGAACTGAGAAATAGAAAGACTCAGAAACTTGTTCTAGGCTCATAAAGCTACTAAAATGGTGGAGGCAGGATTCTGAACCCAAGTCTGACTCCGGAAGGGCTGCTCTTTCCATCAGATCCCACTGCCTTAATGAACTCCGAGGGTTTGGCCGCACTGTTTTGTACTACCATGGAATGCTGCAGACTCAGTAGACTCCTTCCAGTGATTGTGGGTTACAACAGCAAGGGCTTTGGAAATCAATGATGCTGTCAATCCACTCTAATGGGACAGGCTACAACATGGCTGCTGCTATTCTTGTCTCCTTTCAAAGAAAAGATATTATGAAGGTGCTTTACGATACTACACATAAATGCCAAAACCATGACAGAATTTTCTTAAACAAAATTCTTTACCTCATTTCTCGTTCTTCATGTTGAGCAATAAGGTTGCTATAAAAATTCTCCAGTGTCACTTTGGTCATTGTCACCCTTTCTTTTGTGTGATTACTCATGGATGAACAAGGTGTTGACCCTGTCATTGCCATGGCTGCTAGAAACAAAGAAAAGAAGTGGTTTTAGTCTTAGAGTTAGAACCCATCAATTACGCACTCTCCTACACTACTAGTAGGACTATAAATCGGGACAACTTTTTCTGGAGGACAAAGAAGTAAATAACAGAACACCTGGTGAAAATAAGTAGATATTAATGTCCTCTGACCCAGAAATATCATCCCTAGGTAAAAGGCCTAAAGAAATTGTCACTCAGGATATGCACAAAGATGTGCATTACAGGAGATGGTCATTATGCCATCATTTTGTCACATGAAGTTAGAGGGAATTCAGTAAAGAAATAAATAAAATGCTGTGGATACATACAAAGAAATACCACGTAGCAGTCAGAAGCAAATCTACCTCTAAAAGTAACATGAATGTATCTTTAAATGATGTCGTATTTTTTTAAAGGAAAAGAACATGATCACAACATCATATGTGTAAATTTAAAAAATATAATATAGCCCTGACTGGTGAGGCTCAGTGCGTTGAGCACTGGCCTATGAACCAAAAAGTTGGCAGTTCAATGCCCAGTCGGGGCACATGTTTGGGCTGCCTGCCAGGTCCCGAGTCAAGGGTGTGTGAGAGGCAACTGCTCAATGTTTCCCTCCCGCATCGTTACTCTCCCTCTGTTTCAGCCTCCCTTCTCCTCTCTCTAAAAACTAAATCTTCGCTAAAAAAATATTTTTTAAAGGAACATATAATATAGACACAGTACAATTCTTTGCTACCCAGGAATCTACCTTGGAGAACTCAAAGACCTATAAGGATTCACAAGATGGTTTGATGCAGCATTGTACAGAAAGAAAAACTAGAAATAACTTGAACATCTAAAACAGAACTGATTAAATTATGAAAAAGTCCTATAATGAAATAATATGCAAACAATTAAAATGTTAAAATGTTTAATGTCAAGAAAAATGTTTCCAATCCAAGTGAAAAGAGTAGGTTACAAAACAGAAGGTATACCTTCTCAATTATGTTTCTGTGTTTACTATACGTGCACAGAATTATTAAAAACACATGAATCGAAATGTTATTAGTGGTTTAACTCTAGGCTGAGAAAACAGATCATTTTATTCTTGTGTATGCTTTCCACATTTTCTATATTTTCTTCAATAACCATGTACTATTACCATTAAGTTACCACTAACTTTTAAAAGTATAATTTCTATAGTTAAAAAATATCTGACTAAAATGCTCATCTACAGGTATATATGTACTCTGACATGCATATTTGATAAATGTTTGCTATCTACTTGAGTTTACAAGCTAAAACAAAGACCTACGATGGGAACATATTACAAAGAAAAAAGTGAATTGAAATTTTAATGACAGAAGATGCCACAGAAACAAGGCGCCCTATCCTCCCAGTTGTATGTGTGAGAAAGCCAATACTAACAAAGTTTAAATAGATGATAGAACATGTTTACCTATATTTATATTTAAATTTCATTTTTCCCCAGAAATTTTTGCCAACCTACATTGTCACACTAGACCAGATTGCTCACCAATCTTCACTTGCTCCAGCTCTGGCAATAATGTTCAATATTATATCCTTATCATGTCTTCCTCCTACACAACCTGCCTCTAAGTCCATTAGCAGCTTCTCTGCTTTGTATAGCAAACTAAGGCTTGTGAGGAATGTGCAAACACTTGTTATTACTAAGAAAAAAGACAACATTAAACAATTTTCTAAAATGACACTCAGGAAAAAAACAGAGAGTAACCCTTTCAGAGCAAAGAGATTCAAAATCAAGGCTCTGCTTCAGAGTCAAACATCTTGATTCATAATAATGTGCCAAAATGGTCAGTAATCAGAAATTCAAGACATTGAACTCAGCTCTACCTTATTATGTTATCTTCTTCAAGGAAACTTTCTGCTAATACCAAAGCAAACTTAAGTGTTTTTAGAATATCAGAATTTAAAAAAAAAACAACTGTTTGGTTTATGAAGCTTGGGGCTTGGGTGTGGTTCCTTATTTGTCAGCCTGTACCCTCTCTCCACCCACAATGAAAACCACATGCATTCTAAGTTTGGTGAAGAAATTTTCAAACCAGATTTAAAACAAGTCTGAAGCAAGTGAGCACTTTGTACTCCACTCCTCCCTTGTCTGAAAATTTCTGGATACCCCTTATACATTTTAACAACTGATATTACTTCAACTTTAAAAATACAACTAGAGAGAGTTAAGCCTGAGACAAACAGTGCCTATGTATAATAAATAGTGGTTAATAAATGTGAGTTGAGCAAGGGAATGATTTTTTGGTTGTCAACAAAGCTAAAAGAACAAAATTACATTTCCAACCATGAGTGTACAAAAGTTTGGGGGGTAGTTTTGACCCATTTAAGTCATGGTATGACTTACTAAAGTTTTAAAAAGAATACCAGGAGATTAAGGTCACTCAAACATGCTTATGTAGTAGACCAGTAAGTGTTCAACCAGAACGGCCTCTGACCTTCACATACAGTCTCTAACGTAAGGCAAAGATTACACTGTCCTTCTCTTCCACCTTTCTTCAAACCCCCCTCCTGCTGGTCATCCACTTATAAAAGGGTTAGCCTAATTCTAAAGACCTTTCATCCAAAGATACAATGATGCTTACTATAGCAATTTATAGGTTCACTGGGTCAACCAAATGCTTTGTATAAGATATGGCTTTCCCTCTTGTGTTTGATAACCCAAGCCTTGACGCCCTGACCTACAGACCATGGGATGCCCTTGCTCTCTTTGTTTCTTTCTCCAACTCTGCAGAATTAGGGAGTAACAGGTAGGTGAGAAAAAGTCAGGGGTAGGCACTGCAAACATAAAAGGAGATCAAATGAAAACCACTGCTTATTGAATACAGAGAGTTGTACCTGGTTGACTTCACAATGGTACTGTTATCTCTATAAATGCCTCTTCTCTTACCAAGTCTTCACTTCCTTCTCTGTGACTGGACAATCCAATATCTTTTATTTGGACAATTCAATACTGGGGCTAAGACTGTTCCTTAAGAGTCACCCATCTAATTTCTCTCACTAAAATGTAAGCCACTGGAAAGCAAGTATCCTGTCTTCCACTACTACTCTTAATATCCTTCCCCCAGCTCAAGGGCAATACCATGCACTTAGTGAGTGCCTTATAAAAAGCTTACTAGGTGAACACTCGCGTTTATGCCCGTTACTAGGAATTAAGGATATGTATGCGTGTGACGGGGAATGGTTTTCTATAGAGAGCTGGAGGATGGAGTTCCCACGCTCTTACCGGGAAGCTGGTATCTGTTTGGGGTCGGATGGAACCTGTAACTGTGACGGTTGTTCTATGTTGAGGGAAACCGCGGTTACCATGGCCTGGCTAATTCTAATTCAGAGCCAAGGTGGCCCGAAAGGGAGAGGGAGCACAGGGTCTGCTTTACACAGCCTTCCCCTGTGCTTTTCAAAAAGAAAAAGTTTCTCTTTGCGTCTTTTAATCAATTCAAAGTGCAACTGGGAGATCTGGTCTCTCACTAGGAGCCCTTGTGCACACTTTCTGACAGAGACTTGCCTCTAAGTCCTTATCAACTTTCCTCTTTTACTTTCTTATTAAGCGTCCTCACTAAATTTTCCTGTGATTTTACGATTATCTCAGTACCCAAAGGTTAACCATGGGGAAGGGAACAAGCTCGGAAGTACCACACCCAAAGGTGGGCTTTCGACGTCTCTGCCTCACACTACAGCTCTTGGGTGCTTCGGCTCCGGAAAAAAAGAAAAGGAGGTGAAAACTGGTAATGAGCGAGATCCCGGAGGGGACTGAGAGACGGCGGCGAGCGGACAAAGCTGGGGGCACGGAAAGAAAGCTGCCCACCCCGCCCCAGGGGCACGCGAAGAGAGAGGACGGGGTGCGAGCCTGGCGCTGGGAAACCGTGGGGAGCACGGACGGGGAGCCTCTGGAGACCGGGAGAGCAGTCGAGGGACCGAGAGGGCAGGGCGGGAAGGAGGGCGCAGGCGAGAAGGGGAAGAGTCTCGACGAGTCGGAGAAGAGGAGAAGGGAGAAGCCTGGGATGGACTAAAGACAGCGGCAGCAAGACACTCACCAGAGCCCCGACGGAGGCTGGGCTGCAGGCGGGGATAGCCGCGGACGCCAGCCGGGCCGCAGGAGGGGAGGGGACGGCTGAGGTGCTCTGAATCAGAGGACCAGGGACGGTTGCTGGTGAGAGCAACAGGAAGCTCCCCAACTGCCGGAAAAGACGGCAGCACGGAGGGGCCAAGGCAGCCGGTACCCCGCCGCTGTGAGGGGCTGGCGGGGAGGCCTGGGGCCGGGACGCGCAAGCGTAACTTCCCGGAGACGAGGCGGGGACGCTCGGACTGCGCGTGCGCGGCCCGGCCCCACCCACCCACACCTTCCCCGCCTCACCAGCGCAGAGTCCGGGTTGAGGGCAGGCTTGTGGGGTGGGGGGGCGGTCCCAGATGGACAAGGCCGGGGGAGGTTCCCTTTGTTTTGTTTTCTCACTTTTTGTTTCGAAATAATTAGACTCAAAAAGTTGCATAATTAGTGCAAAGAGCTCCCCTATACCCATCAGCCACCCAGCTTCTCTTCCTTCAACATCTTATATACGCAGACTACACTATCAAAAGCAGGAAATTGACATTGTCACAGTTCAAATTAAATAGACGAATACAATTAATTAGATTTCAGCCCTTACTCGGATTTAACCACTTTGGTGTGCACCCATTTCCGCACGTACCTTCGCGCGTGTCCACGCCCCACTGTAGTCCTGTGTTGTGTAGTACCCTGCCCCTCCCTCGACTTTCGAGCATTAGAGCCCAAGCTCTGCTGGAGCCCTTGATCCCACCTACTCTTCGTCAAAGTAATGACTGAAGGTGCCTTACTGTGGGATCAGGCTTTCTCTCGCAGATTTGGACAAGGGCTACCGGAGGGCGTCCCAGTGCGCATAGGAGCCTGCTTTTCAGGGCTGCTCGACCGCGCCTGTATCACCCCTTAGGGTAAAGAGGTCCCAAGTTTACCTAGCCTTGGGGCACTCATTCTTTGAGAAAGGAGCACAGTGCCCTAAACTTCCTGGAAACAAGAAAGGTCCCCACCGTCCTTCAAAGAGGCTATCTAGAGAGTGAAAGAAGCATATGAACAAATGATTCTTTAGGGTATTTTGTGATACTATGGTTCTCTCTCTCTCTCTCTCTCGTAACTGTAAAACCATGGGTCTTGGTTTTATTCTTCAGACTTGGGGTCCCAGGCTTTGTTTCCTTAATGGTCTTGAAAACATAGGCCTTCCTTGACTGCTTTCATGTTACTAAACTCCAAAGCCCGTTTTCCTCTTACCTACTCTCATACAGAGACCACCTCTCCCTTTTGTTCTCTGCCCAGAGGCCCTTCTCCCTCAATGCCTTCTGTCAAAGTTCTAGCCATCCTTAATGACTTACAGTGCAAGACGTTTGCATAGAGCTTTGCAGTTTACAAACTGCTCACTCATTTTTATCTCAGTGGATCCTCACAGCTCTTGGGCAGGTTACATAGAATGAGTATTTCTAGGGTTTCTTACTCAATTTTTCAAATTCATTTTTAATTTATAGTTAACATTACTTTCAGGTGTGCAACATAGTGGATGGACATTTATATACCTCATGATGTGATCACCACAATAAGTCTAGTAACCATGTGTCACCGTACACAGCTATTCCGATATTATTGACTGTATTCCCTATGCTGTATGCCCATGACTTAACTTATATCTGGCAGTTTGTATTTCTTTTTTTTATGATTTTTGTTTATTTATTTTTTAGAGGGGGAAAGGGAGGGAGACAGGGGATGGAGATAGGGAGCAAAACATCAATGTGTGCTTGCCTCTTTCGTGCCCCCCACTGGGGACCTGGCCCACAACCTAAGCTTGTGCCCTGACTGGGAATTGAACCAGTGACCTCTTGATTTGCAGGCCAGTACTGAAACACTGAGCCACAGCAGCCAGGGCACAGTTTGTTTTTCTTAACCCCCTTCATCTTTTTTGTCCATTCCCCAAGCCCACCACTCTGGCAACATTATCAGTTCATTCTCTCTGTGAATTTGTCTCTATTTTGTTTTGTTTGTTCATTTATTTTGTTTTTTTACATTCCACATATAAGTGAAGTCATACAGTATTTGTCTTTCTCTATTAAATTTAGGGTGAGTCTTTACTGATAAAGTAACACTCAGAGAACCACAATGATTTGCCTGAATTCTCACAGTTAGTGAGCAAGTAATTGAAGGAGTGAACCCTATTTTCTGACTGCAAAAGCAATGTTCCTTCTGCTTTCCCCTTCCTGCCCTCTAAAGCCCAGTTCAAACTTTCATCTTCTCCTTGGAGCCTTTACAGTTTCAGAAGAGGGATTTCATTATCTCCTCTCTATATTCCTATACTGACTCATCTGTACCTCAACTCTAATAACCACTAGAGTCTTCCTCAAAATAGCTCAGCCAGAATATGCTACTCTCTCCGCACTGATGTAAACAATGACATTTCACCATGACTCCAATAAGCCTAGTGGATATTTGTCATTCTTTTTGACTACCTGAATCTCTTTCATGTGTTTGCCACTTCTCACTAAAACTAAAAATTCCAAATGTCCACTCTCCGTGATTCCTTTGCAGCTAGGGAGCAGGCACAAAACTTAAGTGCCACCTATCACTACACCCACCCTGGACTGTGAGTTGGAACCAAGGCTGATCTGATCCCACTTGCAGGACTCGACATCATTTGCTTCACTCTAGTACTGATGTTGTCAGATTTTGTCTTTATTTAAATGTTGATATTTGGTCATCATGGGGTTTTTTGCATTAAAAGTTATGTTTCAATATTGCAGTAAAATAATTTTTAATGATTTTATAGGCCTGGCTGGTGTGGCTCAGTGGACTGGGCACTGGCCTGTGAACTGAGGGGTAGGTGGTTTGATTCCCAGTTAGGACACACACCTGGGTTGCAGGCCAGGTCCCTGGTGGGGTGTACACCAGGGGCAGCCACACATTGGTGTGTCTCTCCCTCTCTTTCTCCCCCTCTCTCTAAAAATAAATAAATAAATCATTTTAAATGATTTTTAAGATTTATTGATTTAAGAGAGAAGAGACATTAAATTGTTATTCTTCTTATGCATTTATTTGCTGATTCTTATATGTGCCCTGACTGGGGATCAAACCCACAGCCTTGGTGTATCAGGATGACACACTAACCAGCTGAGCTACACAGCTAGAACCTGTAATAAAATACCTTGATCACTGAGTTATTTGCTGCCTTCACAGATCTTGCACCAAGGTGAAAGTCTTGCTTTCCTCACCCTGCTCCAAGTCCTGGAAAGATTACTCTGAATCTGTTCTGCAGAGAGTGGTGGCTGCTCCAAAGAATTTCTAAGTTAACCAGAATTGTGTCCGCTTTCATTTTTTTTATTCTCACCCGAGGACATTCTTATTGATTTTAGAGAGAAGGGAAGGGAGGAAGAGAGAGAGGGAGAGAAATATTGATGTGAGAGAGAAACATTGATTGGTTGCCTTCTTATGCTCCCCAGACTATGGACTGAACCCTCAACGCAGGCATGTGCACTGTCCAGGAATTCAACCCCCAACCTTTCAGTTTTCGGACTGATGCTCCAACCAACCGAGCCACGCCAGCCAGGGCAATATTCACCTGTCTATGCTCTGTAATGAAGGCAGGCAATATAGAAGGGGATTGAGAATGAATAAAGTATATATTACTTTGCTGTTCTCTTTTAATCTAACTTGCTAATATAAATGGAGAACTAACGTTTAGCAGGATCCTTATTAATTGACTTCTGGTTAATGGAAACACTGAACAGAGTCAATTCCTTTATATTTTCTATATTGCCAACCTCTCTGGTAACACTTAGCCAGATTCTTTTTGTAACTCTTTTATGGGTGAAGGAAGAGGAGGAGGTGAGTGTCTTTACTCACCTCACCTTATAGTATAATATCTCTGCACTTATATAATTATAATTACAATATAATTCACCTAATCCAAGCTTCCCAATTTTACAACAGATTTCTCTGAACACATCTTGGGGAAAACCTTTTTTTAATAGTATACTAAGTTATTCTTCATCCCCATGGGACTTGAGTTCCTTCGTTTGAATATTAGCACTTTATTGTCTTGCTCTTTCCCCCAGTTTCAGATCCACTAGCCTTTCCCTTCTCTTTCAGCATTGCCCCAAATTGTTCTTTCTCCCAAGGGAAATCACCTGCTTATCCTCCATCAGGCTGACCTTTGATTGCTTCACCAGCAGAAGCTCAGTCTGTCAGTAGAGACCACAATCCTCTAAAGGACAGGCAGTGTGCACCCTGCCTATTGGGGCAATGACATCAGGAACCAGCTGGCCCAGTGCTTCTCAAACTTTAATGTGCACACAAATTTTCTGGGATTCAGTTAAAATACAGAAGGTCTGGGCAGAGCTGAGATCTTGAACATCAAACAAGCTCCCAGGTGATGCTAATGCTGCCAGTCCACATACTACACTTGAAGTAGAAAAGAACTTGATGTAAGTATAAAATAAGAAGGGACAAAGTGTCCTTGATCCAACAACCCTTGGTCCCTACCAGGGCCGATACCGATGAGTCAAATGAGGCACCTTGGACACAACATTGAAGGAAGCGCTCAAGCTCAGGTGGTGCATCCCCTGAATGTGCACGACCCTGCGAGTGAGCACCTCACAGAGTGCATCCCAGGCTCCTCACTTACCCATCCTAGTGCCTGCCCTGCTCCCTGCCAAGTAACATTTTGGTCGGTATCCATCCAGACTACTTTCTAATACACACGTGAACATGTACAGAATCATATTGTACGTGATCCCATTATGCATAATTGTGCCTACAACATTATGCATACAATATTGTATTCTTATTATGTATTCACTTATATCTAAATTACACTATTCTAAACCTTCAAGCTCGATAATTTAATCTCAACAAATTTATTTAATAATTCTGTTCTTCTAATATGTACACAGTTGCTTTCTCTGAGTGAAAGAATTATGAATGCTTATTATTTTCTTCCTTACACTTTTCTGCACAAATTTTTCATATTGGACCCGCATAACTTTTAACTATTGTTTGTTATCAAAGTAATACATGTAAGGACTTTAAAAAGACTAACCTATCTAGAAATAAGAACAATAAACAGCAGTTTCAACTGAATTGACTCCACAGAAGCAGCTGCCTTCAACACTTGTTGTTTCTTCTCCTACTTGCCTCCTCATTTCTAAATAATATTGCTATTTCTTGTTTTCCATTTTAGATACTTTTTTAATGTCTTCAGTGAAGACAAGGATTTAACTCACACCACAACTTCTACATACGT